AATACCTAGGAATAAATTTAACCAAGAGGTGAACGACCTGTAGACTGAAAACTATAAAACTTATGAACTATAGAAAAAGAAATTGAAGATGACACAAGGATAAACAAAATGTACAAACTTTTTGCCAGACTCATCAAGAAAAGAAGAGAGAGGACTCAAATAACTAAATCAGAAATGAAAGAGCAGACCTTAACAAGTGATATCTCAGAAATACAAAGGATCATAAGAAACTAATATGAACAATTATACGCCAACACATTGTACAACCTAAAAGAAATGGATAGCTTCCTAGAAACATACAACCTATCAAGACTGAATCATGATGAAATAGAAAATCTGAACAGACCAATTACTAGTAAGGTGATTGAATCAGTAATCAAAAACCTCCCAGCAAACAAAATCCAGGACCAGATGGCTTCACTGGTGATTTTTAACAAATATTTAAAGAGAATTAATACCAATCCTTCTCAAACTCTTTAAAAAAATAGAAAAGGAGGGAACACTTCCAAACTTATTTTATAATGTCAGCATTATCCTGATACCAAAACCAGACAAGAACGCTACAAGAAATAAAAATTGCAGGCCCATCTCTGATGAACATATAAGCAAAAATCCTCAAGAAAATATTAGCAAACAGAATTGAATAATACATTAAAAGGATCATACACCAAGATCAAGTGGGATCTATTCCAAAGATTCAAGGATGGTTCAACATACACAAATCAATCAATATGATACTGCACATTAAGGAAAAGAAGGATAAAAATCATATGACCATCTCAACAGATGGTCAAAAATCATTTGACAAAATTCAAAATCCATTCATGATATATACTCTCAACAAAATGGATAAAGAGGGAATGTACGTCAACATAAAGGCTATAGATGACAAGGACACAGTTAACATCACACTCAACAGTGAAAATCTGAAAGTGTTCCTCTAAGACTAAGAACAAGCGAAGGATACCTACTTTCACCACTTTTATTGAACATAGTACTGGAAGCACAAGCCAGAGCAAGCAGGCAAGGCAAAGAAATAAAAGGCATCCAAATTGTAAAGGAAGAAGTAAGAGTGTCTCTCTTTGCAGATGACATGATATTATGTATATTATATATAAAATCCATCAAGACTCCATCAAAAAACTGTAGAATTAATAAGTGAATTCAGTAAAGTTGCAAGATACAAAATCAATATACAACATACAAAAATCAGTTGCATTTCTATACACTAAAAACAAACTATCAGAAAGAGAAATTAAGAAAAAAATCCCATTGACAATTGCATCAAAAGAAATAAATTACTTAGAAATTGATTTAACGGAGGTGAAAGACCTGTCCACTAAAACCGTAAGACATTGATAAAAAAATTAAAGAAGGCACAAATTTTAAAAAATTCAAAATATTTGGAAATTAAACAACACACTACTAAATAATTCATGGGCCATAAAAGGGAAATTAGAAAATATTTTGAAAGAGAGAACACACACAACTCAAAATTATCAGAAATGAGAGATAACCACTACAAATGCTACATATATAAAAAAAGAAATGGGAAGATGTTGGCCAAAGAGCACAAAGGCTCAATGACGTGAGACAAATAAATTCTAGAGATCTAATGTACAGCATGGTAACTATAGTCAATAAGACTGTATTATATACTTGAAATTTGCTACGAGAGTTGATGTAAAGCATTCTTACCACAAATACACAAAAAAATAACTATGTGAGGTGATAGATATTTTAATTAGCTTGATTGTGGTATTGTATATGTATATAAAAACATAATGTTGTACACCATAAATATATACAATTTTTATCAAGTATATCTCAATAGAGCTTGGAAAAAATAGTTTTTTAAAATGATAATATTAGAAACAATTTTATACCCCCAAATTTTGACAATTTAGATATAATGTATGACTGTCTTGAAAAATATAACATCAAATTTGAACAAAATAAAAATCCAAATGTCCCTACATCTGTTAAAGAAATATCATTTGTTATTGAAAACTTCCCCACAAAGAACACTTCAGGCCCACAAGCTTTCCCTTGTGAATTCTATCAAACATTTAAAGAAAAAATAAACCAATCATTAAGTTCTCTTTCAGATAGGTAAGTGAAGGGTACACTTACCAACTCATTTTATACGGCCTGTATAACCCAAATATCAAAACCTGACCAAGTCATTACAAAAAAAATAACATTACCCGTGACATTCGAACGTACATACAAAAATACTAACAAAATTTTAACATATATAATGAAGAGATGTATTTTTTTCAGTAACAGCAGAAAAAGTATTTGACAGAATTGAACCAACATTCATAACATAATCTCTCGGTAAACTAGAAATAGAAGGGAACTTCCTTGATCTAATAAAATCATCTACAAAAATTCATAGAGCTAACATCATACTCAATGGTGAAAGACTAAAAGCTTTCTCCTTAAGATCAGGAACAAGAATAGGATGTCCACTCTCACCACACCTATTCAACATTACAGCGTAGATTCTACCCATTCCAACAAGATCAGATAAAGAAATAAAAGGCAAAAACATCAGAAAGAAAAAAGAAATATTGTCTCTATTTGCAGATGACATGATGGTGTACATAGAAATCCTAAGTAATCTAAAAAGCAACTACCATAACTAACAAATGAATTTAGCAAAGTGGCAGGATACAATATGCAAATAGACAATATGCAAACATTTACTGGAAATTGAAACAACTGACAAATGAATTTTTTAAATATTATATTTAGGATGGCACCAAAACTCCACAAAATACTTAGGAATAAATTTAGCAGAAAACATGCAAGACTTTTAAACTAAATAATGCAAAAAAATAATGTTTTTAAACCTAAATAAATGGAGAGATATACCATTTTCAGGGATTAGGAAACCTTAATAATATTAAAATATCACTTCTCAGCAACTGACCTATAGATACATGTCAACTCCAATCAGAAGCCAGGGTTTTTTTTTTTTAGAAAATTGAGATGCTGATTCTAAAAATTTTTGGAAATGAAAAGGACCTAGAATATCTAGAACAATCTTGAAAAAGGATCAAGATAAAATAGTAATACTACTTGACATTAGACTTGGTATAAAGGTATAGTAATGAAAACAGTGTGGCACTGGCATAAAGATTGACAAATTAACGAAAGAGAGCAGTGGAAAGAAAATAAAGCATCAAAGAGGAAATATAATGTATTTGGATCAAATCTTCAAAGAGCTAGGTATGTCTTCACTGCAGCAAATACACCACAATAAATTTGGACTTACTTTAGTTTGAGGAAAATTTCAAGTTACCTAAATCTTGCTAAAATCAAAGGACTGTATTTAGCAATAAATAAACTGAGACAAGCTGAAAAGGCCCTGAAGTTGAAAACTGAAGGAAACCAACAATAAGGCAGATATATTAAATAATTTTTCAGATTTGTAATTGAGAAAGAGTCCCCAGAACACATCTGTGAAAATACTCTTGCCTGGAAATTCTGAATTCTTTTTATTATTATGCTAGGTATTACATTGTTACTATACTATTATCAAGCCAGAAAAGTACTAATCTTTATTTTGCCATAAAAGGCCAAAAAGAGACTATTTACGCCAAGAAAGAAAAGAAAGATGGAAAAGGGGAATGGGAAGGAGAAAGACAGGGAAGAAAGGAAAGAAGGAAGACAGACGTTCCCAAATGACAGGAAAAGTCAGAGGGCAGAACGTTTGTGGAGTAACCTAATATAACCAAATAACGTTCTAAAGGAACAAAGGGAGTTAATGAAATTGCAGACCTTTCTTGCTGAAAGCTTCATGGTTTGGTAAGTTTGATTTTTTATTTCTGTGTTTCTATTTTAAAAGTAGAGATAAAGTTGACTCTCAGTGTTAAAAATGACATAAAAAAACTACAAATGGATAACACCATGAGACCATCTTGAAGGAAAATAAAATTCCTTCCCCTACTCCTAATTCCTATGCTTGAACACACATTCCCACTCCATCACCAAAGGAATTATACCAGCTGAGGGTCAATGACTATTTAAAAGTTTAAAGATTGGTAGAAGGCTAAAAGATGTATTAGGTAATAAGTAAATAATGATTAGCACAACAACTCATGGGTTAAGAAACAGGATTACCAAAATAAGATTGATTGCTCTCTGTTCTTGGTGCACCCAAACTTAAGTCTATTTCAAAAATAAAGAAAAAATTATCCCAGGGAGGAGAGGTAACCGCTAAGAGAATTTTTCAAATGTAAATACATAGACAGATAATTTAAGCTACATTTCAGGAGGCTTAGTGGGTACAAATTAAGAAATCATTCCCCTGTCAATTTCACTGGGCAAAAGTAACGGATATTTATCTGAATATGCAATACCTATACTACTAATAGGAAGTTTTTAAAATCATCATAATGTAAATAATTTTATATTTCAAATATTTAAAAATATTATTTTTAAGTGCTTATGATCATTGAAGAATAATTAGAGATAGGAAAATATTGCCATAAATTTACTGAGCATGAACCACATGTTAAGTATAATGTAAAAGAGAGAACTAAATTAATTTACTGCTGGGAGTTACAGCATAATTTTCATCCTAAGCATAGATATAGGATGCTGGGTATAGAGCAATATGAAAATAGTTAAAAAAACATTATAGACCAAATTTATTATTTAGGATAGATAACAGTAACATGGAGAGAATTCTACATGATTTATAATTCTAAATAAATTTGCAATATCAAATTAGGCCAAATAAATGGGGAAAATCCTCCTTCTTAATATAATCAGTTACAAAATGCTAAATTCAAATCATTTCATAAAAATATTAACTCAATTAAATTCTTATCATTTATTATTTGATGAAATTGTACTTTTTTGTTGAATTCCCTAATTGGCAGGGGAGGGGGGATGGTTGATGTAAGTTTTATAAATAGCTAAGATGCTTACTTACAACATCGGGCATGTTCAGCTTTTTTTTTTTTTCCCAGCCTCACATAACATACCTTAGCTAGTCTTCTGGAAGATTCACAGTTATGGTCTGCACATGGCTTGGGTCCTTTTTCAGGTTCTATAGACGAAACTGAGAAAATATATTATATTTTATCATGGGACTAAAGTACTATATCACAATATTTAAATTAGCTTTTGAAATATAAAAGAGATCATTTCTCTAATATTTCTTTTCCACTGAAAAATTAAGCAGATTTTCTAATGTTAAATCACTCTTTTCAGCTAAAAACCTAAGCCAAAGATTTGTTTTATATAAATAAGGAAAACCTCACTATTACAGTAAACTTAAGAATTAATCAACTTTCTTGATAATGTCTGGCTATTGATTTCATAAAATTTTTAACAACAGAATTATTTTCACTTTTATAAGATATATATGTATGTATAAATGTGTGTGTTCATTCGATATTCTACTTAACTCGACTCGTATGATACAGCGTGTGTCATGTGACTAACTCAGTTCTCAATCTCTACAAAGTGATTAACCATGATAATACTGGAAAGTGAATGACGATGGACTATGGTAGTGGCCACGGAAACTGAAATGATGAATGTATTCATGCATGCATGCATGCATGTACCAATTTATCCAACAAATAATTATTGGGAGTCTACTATGTACTAAGGGGTATTCTAGGAGTCTGGGATATATGTGATCAAAACTGACAAACTCCCTGATTTTTTGGAAACTATATTCTAACGCAGGGAAAGAAAATAAAAATAAACAATAATCAGTTCATAAACATATTGTGTGATAAGGTGATAAGCACTAGGGTTAAAAAGAAAAGAAAGACAGCAAGGAAAGAGGGACTGGAATTGTGAGACAGTGATAGGATTACCATTTTAAATTAGGTGATAATCAATGATATTTGAGTAAAAAAATGAAGGAGGTCTAAGAGCTACCCACGAAATGAGATAGTATAAAACCTGCAAGGCAGAAATGTGCATGGCATGCCAGCGGGACCAAGAAGGCTAGCGTGGCTAGAGCGTTGCAAGCAAAAGAGATTAAGAAATAACATGAGGCCATATGGTGTAGGCCACTACAAACTTTGGTTTGGTTTATATTCTGAGTAAAAAGGAAGCCATTATAAGATTGCTTGAAGAGGAATAACATGGAAAAATAGCATAACAGATGAAACTGTTGTCCCTGATTCCTCATCCTCTACACATCCACAGCCTGCTGTGGCCTATATGTGGACAGAGTATCATCCTATGACTTGGGATTGGCCAATGGCAATGGGGACTTCCAATGGCAATGGACAGAAGTGAAAGTATGCTAATTTGGCGTCTTGGTCTTAAGATGTTTTAGTTGTTCCTCTTGTGCTTCTCTTATCACCATGAGTAGAGCTTCCCATTGGTGGCTGCTGCCACTTCAGACATGGCCCTATGATAGAAACTCATGGCGCACTGATAGCCCACTAAGCAAAGCTGTACCCACAACGTGACACACAGATACCAGCTGAGTCCAGCCTAGACACAGCCTACCACAAATCTAATTCACATATCGTTAAAAATAGTCATTGTTTTAAAATTTAATGTGATTTGTTAAGTTACATTTTTGTATTGAAAGGAGAAATTTTAAAAATTAGGAGACTATATTAGTAATTCATTCAAAATATATTAGTGGCTTGAACCAGAGTAGTAGCAGAGAAGTGGGTGAGAAGTAGCTGGACTCTGATAATATTTTGAAGGTAAAACCAACAAGATTTCTTGACACATTGGTTATTGAGTACATGAGAGTTAAAGGTGACTCCAAGATTTTTGAACTTAGAAACCAGAAGTGATAGTTAGAACTAGATGGGAAAGGCTGAGGGTGAAGCAGAATTTTGCGGGGAGAAGAATGGAAAGAGGGAGATATTCAGTTTTGTAGATGTCCAATGTTAAAAACTCAGAGAGGAGGACAAACCAGCACAGGAAACTGAGAAGGAGAAATATCAAGGCTTGTGCCTGAAGCCAAGTAAAAAAAGTAAATCACAGAGGAAGGAGTGTCAAACTTTTCAAAGGTATGTTAGATGATAACTAAAAAATGACCATTGGATTTAGTAGTGTAGAAATGACTAATGACTTTGCAAGATCATCTAAGAAAATATTCTACTGCACTACAAGACATAAAAATCAAAGAGGGAATAAGTAAAAGATGACTTAAAGGTTTTCTATTAATTAATCTTTCTAAATTATCTCATCCATCTGATTATCACACAGCTCTAAAACCTTCGCTTACTCCTCACTATTCATCAAAATATATGGAAAGAAATCTGATTTTTAGCCCTAGGTACATCACTAATAAACACAGGGTATACTATTTAATATCTCCTTGAGACTTCCACTCTCCACTCTGTAAAACAAGAGGAGAAACACTGTGATTTTTTCATTCTTTCTAGCTGCAAAAATATGATTAAAAACATAAATATGTCAGTTTAACAAAGTTTTCTATAATATAACCACAAGCAATCACGACAATTTTATTTTTCCCAAATTCTCTATACATATCCTGCCCATTAGCCATTATAGACTGTTTCCCAAATATACCCTATGCTGTCTGTGTAAATGACTTTAAGTCACCATTTTACAAAGAATTTTTTAAAACACCAATAATTTTTCATGGACATCTTTATCCGTTCATTTCCATAAGAACATTCTCCCTTTCACAGAACCGACAGAGCACCTGTGGTATTTCTACTACAGTATCTATAGAACCTGTACTATTGTTATACGAATATTTTCTTTTTACCAGAATATAACCTTTTTGAAGAAACGATCCTTACTCTATATTACCAGCATTTACCTAATATGTTATGTAAAAAGAAAGAGACTGAAAGAATATTTGAAAAAATAATGGCCAAAAATTTCCTAATTTGAGAAGACACAAATCTACACATTGAAGATCAATGGAATTCAAGGGAGATAAATGCAAGAAATTCAACATTGAAACACATTATAATCCAACTGTCAAAAACAAAGAGATAACCTTGAAAGCAGCAAAAAAGAAATAATTTGTCACATACTATCAGTTCATGATAAGATTAACAGTAGATTTCTCATCAAAAACCATGCAAGTTAGAAGGCAGTGATAGGAGATATTTCAAGTACTGGTAGAAAAAAACTTCCATCCAAGAATCCTATATGTGAACAACTATCCTTCAAAAATAAAGAAAGGAAAACATTCCAAATACAACGTTTGTGAGATTAGATAGTAATAGGACTATAGATTGTAATTTGATGCTATACAAAGAAACAAAAAACAGTGGAAAGTTAACTACATAGGTAAATAAAAAAACAAAAATGGTTTTTTTAACTCCACTTTTTCCCCTATATGATTAGAAATAAAAATGCATAAGACAATAACTATAAATCTATGATAGTGGATACATAATGTATAATAATGAAATTATTGACAACAACATAGACAGGAAGGAACAAAGCTGCACAGGAGCAGTTTTGGTATACTGTTTAAACTAAGTTGGTATTAATTCAAACTATATAGTTAATATGTTTAAAATGTTAACTGTAAAACTCAGGGTAACCACAAAGAAAATAACTAGAATATATTTAGAAAAGAAAATGAGACTAAAATCAAAATGATGCTCTATAAATAGTCAACTAAAGACAAAAAAAGTCAATAACAGAAGCATCAGAACACAAAAAAGACAGGATAGGACATTTGGGTTACAGTCAAACATGAAAGGAGTTTAGACTGTCAATCCTGTACTGACAAGAAAAACAAGAACAAACTGAAAATCAACAACTCTTCTTTGATTTACCAGATAATTGAGGTCACATAAAAAACTCCTGCCCACAAAACTGCAGAGAAGGAAGAGTGGACACAGAGAATTATAGCTTACCAGAAGCAGAAGCCCAAGACCAAGAGCCTGCCAATGGAGCCAATGCCAGTAGGAAATAAAATATAATTTAGGATTTGATGGATGCTCACTGTGGGAAAACTCAAGTGCTAAAAACTCTGGTGGGAGGGCAGCTTTTGGAGGACCTCCACACTTTCACGTGTTTTACCTCTAGTAGTTCCAGTAAGTTCTCAAAGAGAAGACTGAAGAAAAATTCCTTTCTTCTTTTAGCATGGGAAAGGGCAAAGTAAACATTTTGAAATACACCAAGAGCATTCAGTTGTCTTTAACAAAAGCCCGCCTTCAAGAGAAATATTAAATATTTTACCAGAGCCTAACAATCTTGGGTTTTACCAGAGCCTAAATGAACTTAGGGAAGGGAAATATCTAACTCCAACTCCCTCTAGCCTTCCAGTATAAACTAAGGAAGAAGAAAAGAAACAGAGAAGCACTTGTGAAGGTCTTAGACCAAAGGCGCAGGCTCTCTAAAAACCTGAGATCTGATCTTGGTACTACAGAATACTTATGCTACCTCTACATATTAACACCACATCAACAGGGCTCTTCATAGTACCAGCAGATTACAACAGAAGGATTGCAAGTCTCAGCCCTTATTTAAGAAGTCTTTTGGGAAATCCAAAGACAACAGAGGAGACAAAAACAAGGACATCAGAGGGAATTTTAACCTACAAAACCTATAGATACTGGAAACAGCAAACACAGCCCAAATCCTAAACAGATAAACAAAAAATGTCACATAAAGACCTACCTAACTCAGTTTTTACTACCTGGTGCATGTCCAGTTTTCAATAAAATGTTGCAAGAAATACTAAAAGGCAAAAAAAAAAAAAAGTCTGAAGAAAGAGAGCAAGCATCAGAAGTATACTCAGATATGGCAGAGATTTTGAAATTATCAGACTGGAAATTTAAAATATTTATGATAATATGCAAAGGGCTCTAATGGAAAAAGTAAACAACATGCAAAAACAGATAGGTAATGTAAGGATGGAGAGGAAAACTCTAAGAAGGAATCAACAGGAAATGCAAGAAATCAAAAACAGTGTAGAAGAAATGAAGAATGTCTCCCATGAGCTCATCAGTAGACTGTATGTGGCTGAGGAAAGAATCAGATTGGACTGGAGATTGAGATACATCAAATGTAACTTCTGAAACTGAAAAGCAAAGTAAAAAAAGAACGGAAAAATAAACAGAAAAGAATATCCAAAACTGC